AAGTGTCCCGCTAAAAAATGTGCATGTGTGGTGGTGATAATGAGAAAATATATAATTTGATAAAGAAACAAGATTTTTGAGCTCGAATAATGTTCGTTATCTCCACATATTTCATGTATTTGTGAAACACATGTTTAAGACGAAGGTTAAAGTTTCTCAAATGCATGTCAAAATCCAAGGTCAAGAGATCAAAATTGTTGGTACCCAAAGAAAGGTCTTTTCACAAGGAATACACATGTGAAAGCCCTAGCACCAACCATTCAAAAATTTTGACAGTCAATCAAAGATGTACTTGCATAAGGCGATTATAAGAATTAAATGTGTATTTGAACCAGAATAAACAAGATGTGATTGTGAAACACTGATGCCCCCGTATGGCAACTTATAGCGAAGGTTAAACTTTCTCAAATGCAAATCAAATATTTTGGTACCCAAAGTGAGGTTTTGCCCAGAGGCATATACCTGCCAAATATGAAAGCCCTAGCTGCAACCATTGAAAAGATATGGAAAAGGTCAAAGTTTTGGAAAAGTAAGTCAAATATCAAGGTCAAGGTCAAATGGTCAAAATTAATGGTGTACAAGGAAATACCTTCTCACAAGAAATACACATGTGAAATATGAAAGCCCTAGCACAAACCGTTCAAAAGATATGGCCAAGGTTAAAGTTTTTCAAAGTAGGTCAAACTCCTAGGTCAAGTTCAAAAGGTCAAAGTTGTTGGTATCCAATGTGAGGTCTTGTCACAAGGATTACACATGTGAAGTATGAAAGCCCTAGCACCAACTGCTCAAAAGTAATGGCCAAGGTTAAAGTTTTCCAAAAGTAGGTCAAACTCCAAGGTCAAGGTCAGTGGGCTATAATTGTTGGTATCTAAAGGAAGGTCTTGTCACGAGGAATACATATGTGAAGTATGAAAGCCCTAGCACTAACCGTTCCTAAGTTATGGCCAAGGTTAAAGTTTTTCAAAAGTAGGCCAATCCCTTTAGGTCAAGGTCAAAAGGTCAAAAATGTTGGAATCCAAAGGAAGGTCTTGTCACAAAAATTACACCTGTGAAGTATGTAAGCCATAGCACCAACTGTTCAAAAAATAGAAATAGAATTTTGTAAAACTGGGTCAAACTCCAAGGTCAAAAGGTCAAATATAATGGTACCCAAAGAAAGGTCTTGTCTCAAGGAATACACATGTGAAACTTGAAAGCCATAGCTCCAACCAATCAAAAGTTAGGAGCAATGTTAGAGTTTTGCGGACAAACAGACAGACGGACAGGGCAAAAACTATATACCCCAGAATCTTCGATACGGAGGCATAAGAATGCATTTTATTAAATGCCAGACCTTCATCAAAACCAAACTTTACTTGCAGACAGAAGTGTATCTTAATGTGACACTGTATCTTCTGCAGTAGGCATAATACTAGTATTCAATCTCAGGGGGCTCAAGGGCATTCCATACATAGAGGTCGCGTCACCAAGCCATCACAATGTGGGTAGCACGTGACTGTGTGTTCACATTGAGCTCAAAGGTGCAATGGGTGAAAAAGTAAAACAAAATTTAAAAAAAAAATATGATGAAAAGTGTGAAACAACTGTAATTATGAAATTTGATATTTCCTAATTAACAGAATGGTATTTTATCCAACTACCTAAATTAACAGGATCCTTGCATAAAAAATGACTGCAATATGTGGACCATAGGCATATGTTTCTAAAAATAATGAAAATAACACACAAATAAGAAAATTCTGTGTTGAAATGAAAATATGGAACGTAAAAAAGATTTCTTTTATTTTGAAACGTAATTTTTCATAGTAATTTATAAGTTATACTCTAAATATTAAAACTGTTATATCTAAAATCAATTACACTTGATTAAGGTATCTAATATAATAGACTTTAACGGAATTTTCGAATTAAATCGGGCAGGGTCATCCATTTATCTTACCCTTTATTTGAAAGCCAGTAAAGCTATACAATAAATTAGCTTATCCCCTCAAGAATTGGTAGATCCCCCACCCCCAGCCGATCCCACCTCTTTATTTTGCTTGTAAAGAATTTCTTTTTTCTGCCCCCCCCCCTTTTCCAACATAATTGCTTCCTAGGGGGCTGGATTCACAAAACTAATGCCGGAAGTATGTCCTATCTTTTAAAGCCTAATCGTCGAATTAAGTGTTTTATTTCAGCTGTAAAGCCATCTGAAATTTTACTCCTTTTTCAATTCAATTAAGTTTAATTACATAACCATGTTGGCATACAATCACGATAACAAATAAAATGACAGGAAACAGAAAACTAAATTATAACAGAATGGATAAAGCATCAAGCCAAATTCACACAATATCCCTATATGTGAAATGCTTTGCTCAAGCTCAGAGTTAAAAATATTGTCCAGTTTTAAGCAGCGTTGTTCTCCTTGACAGGGAAGACATTTCTGTTGAAGAAAGGAGACATCTATGATTTTTTTATGCATGTTCCATAGAAACCCCAATCTTAACTGATAAATATTATTTGTACCATATACATGTCTATACCTAACTATAGAAAAATATATTATTTACAAATTAAGATATGTGTACAAAGAGTAGATTCTTATTTTGGATACACTAAAAGTAGATAAATTCTATGTTCAGAATTTAAGCAAGTTTTCAATGATGTGCGAGTTCTTATTTGACTAGGGCAATTTCTTACATTAATATTATTTCTATAAACGAGGAAAACTACTTCAAGTGTTGTTTCAAGATTCAGGAAGGAAAAACTATGAAAAAAAGCAAATAGCAAATTGGTTCAAGACGATGTAGAAGTTTTTTTTTTACAAAAATTCACACTCCGATACTAGATTCTCTTTCAGTATCAGATATTGTAATTTTTTTTTTAAAAAAGGTCAGTTTTAGGTTATATTCTTGATTTTTCATTAGTATTATTTTGTGAATGTGTCACAGAAAAATATTTTATTTAAAATAGTCTAAGAACCCTTGAGGTGCGGAACAGCGGGGGTGGGGGGGGGGGGGTATCCGGTCCTAAGCACATGTGATAAATATCATCATTTCTGTTCCATTTTTTGCAAGTTTATAAACTGGCAAAACTATATATATAATGAATAATCATAAAACAATAAAACCATTTACTGATAGATGCTTTATATGATGAAACCGTTTTCTATATTACATGTAATATCTTCCCACGGCAAACAAAAACCCTTAAATGTCACAGGCGAGGAAAAGGAGCAACTTTATCTCAAATTTCTGATTCCCTTTATAGACTGATTCTTACACAAAAAGGCTTCTTGGTTATTAACAAATGCCAGGAAAAGTCGATGAAACTATAAAACACGCTTTCCACGGAAGTTAATCGTGATTATTTTCAATAGTTTATGACCTAATGCAAATTTTCCGCTCCCCCATAAGAAAGAGTAACGACTCTCTAATTATTTACCCTAAACAAACTATTAATTTCATAATTTACACAGAAAGTGAGAATCTATACCCTAATTTACTTGAATTGCTTGCAAGAAATATTTTGTTCTTATGACTAGAAAACTGACCAGTCAGTAAGGGCCCCATAGAGGGATAGAATCTAAAGATGTAGTTTAAAAGATGATAATTTGACTTAGAAAAAAAATTTAAAGGAATTTTTAAAATTTATGAAGAATGTGAAACAGCAACTGTATTCATAAAATTAAGCATATTTCCAAATTGACAAATGACATTATCCAACTACCTTTAGAAATTAATAATATTCTTGTATTTAATGAGGGAGTAAAAAACATCATATCATATAATAATTCAATTAAATGTATATTTAAACCAGAATGAAGGCTGCATTTCATAAAATGCCAGCCTCTGGTGAATGCAAACTTCACCCAGGCTTGACCTCAACTTCAAAACAATCATCACTTGCAAACAGAGAAGTTAATTAATCTTATTGTAATAGGTAAAGATAAGTATTCCCAGAGGATTAATTGTACTGCTGTCTCATCCTTTAATTGTAAGTTTATAATCTCTTATTCTCAGTTTACAATAAGACATTTTCAGCTATGATAGAATGAGGCTATTACTGCAACACCTATTATATATTTCCTTGAATTTACACAAGGCAGCAACAAAAACATATCTTTTACTCAATCTTTTTAAAAAAAATTAATTCCCCATGAAAATTATATTTCAATAAAATATGTTTTTTAACCAGAATAAAGTATGCACATCGTAAAAAACCACCCTTCTATGAATGCGACCATCATGCATCCATGATTGACCTAAACTTCAAATAAACATCACTTGCAGACAGGGGTGTTAATTAATCTCGATGTGACAGAGATCAGGATATTCAGAAGCAGATGAGCTAATTAACCTCAAGGGACTCAATACGGCTTTCATAGTTTTAAGAGAGGAATATTTTCAGCAGTTATCTCTCTTTGCCCATTCATTCTAATATATAAAATTGGGAATCTACCCCACCACCCCAACTCCAAACCGGATGACATACAGAATCAAATTAATATCAAACTAAGTCTTATTACAGCCTATTCAACCAACATACCAAACTTGAACTTAATAGGACACCTATAAAAAAATCATTAGGAAAAAACAAGAGAATTTGCAGACGGAAGGATGAGAGATGGACAGACAGACAGACAAAGTGATTACTATAGTGCACTCACAAATCCTTGCAGTGCCCTAATTAAACAATCTTTTTCATTCTAATGTTAGAAAAATACTTCAAAAAGTGTGCATTTTATACATTTATAACTTTTAAAAAAGCACAAGTAAAGCCATTGACCTTGCATCCACCATATCAAAAGTCATACCAACCTTTTGTACTTATATACATGCATTTATCCATACATACACACTGGCTTTCAGCAATAACAATTCACTAATTGCACAAAGCCATTGACCTTGCATTCCCCATGTCAAAGGTCATACCAACCTTTTGTATTTATATACATGCATTTATCCATACATACACTGGCTTTCAGCAATAACAATTCACTAATTGTAATAGCTTCCAGCAACGATTGTTTTATTTATAGAAGATAACATAAATAACAAATCTGAGGCTTAACATGAACACAATTAAAAAAACAATTACATGGGTAAATATTTGTTTTTCAATGGCAAATAACAAGACCTGATTTACAATGCAAAGAAAATAAATCTAAAGTAAAAAAGCAACAAAATAATCCCATCACAAAAGAGGAGAAATGTCACCTTTTGGAATGCATGACAGAATTCCTCTCCTTGTGAAAATAATGTACATGAAATATCTACAGCTAAAGAAAACCATTTAAAACCCATTCTACTGATTAATAAAATGTTTGCATTATACATGTACATGAAAATATAATCAGTTTACTATGGGCTATACAAATATATATGTATAAAGAACTTTTTAAAATATATTTCCAAATAGCAATTTATTAGGACCAAAAATGTAGCAAATTACTTATATATTCATTAATACAATACATAATTTTTACTTACCTAAAGATATATCATAAAAATGTCTACATTGATCAGCAGTAAGTACCCAAATATGAACACACAATAAAGTGGTTGACTGTTTACATCACAAAATATAAATAATTGCTTCTTAAGCATGTTAAGTACTTCATGTATTAAAGCTAATTCTTTTGAGACCAACAGAAAGGAATGTTGATATTTTGCAGTACCTGAGAAACTTCAAATGCATAAGTTATAAAGTTTAAAATATAAATTAAATATTGATGTATGCACAATGAACTTATCACTGAGGCTGCTAGAAATCAAGATTTACATCTGTATGCTTATTTCTCAATATTATTATAATATACAGTTTTGCTTAAAACTTCAATCAATGATAACTGCTACAAATGCAATTTAACTCTCCTTATTTGTAAATCCACTGAAAAATATCAATACATGTTCAATCCTTAACTTTTGCCAAGGGAGCTAACTGTATAGACTGACAGACTGTCAGTACAGATGCCCCCTTTTTGGATACTGTAAACCCACCCTCTAAAACAATTTGAGCAAATTATTGCTGAATACTCTATTTAAGAATACCACAGATGATGGAACAGTGACATATTAATCAGTCTTTGGAATATTTAAACAGCATATGTATTTTGTTTGTTTGTTTTTTTATCCATTAGTTAAGAGAATTTTTTATGACAGTGAACAAAAAAAGTAAAGCATTTGTTTCCTTCAGAATATCAAAATACGATTTAATACTGGTTTTACCAGATAAAATCATCTGGAAGTTTGAGGTTTTAAAATTCTTCCTTCTTATTTTTCACAATTAACTGCATCAGCTGGTATCACACTTAAAATCAAATAACTCACTGTGAAATTCACAGAATAATAATACATGTCATCAAGATTGATTTTCAAAAAAAGGGGGAAGAGGGCATTCTGAAAACAGATGAAAAATCCCTGTTCTTTAATTGTTTAGAAAATGAACATTGAAAACAACTATTCAATTCTTCTTTTTCATAATACAATAAAAAAAAATTAAGTACAACTTGGAAAAATTGTGTCACTATTCTTTTTGTTAGACTCCATGAACAAGAAAAAAATGCAATACTGAAATTTTAGTTTCATTTCAGTCAGTTATCATACCCTGATTACAAAAAGTATTCATTTTTGCCCATTGACTATACATGTAGCATATGTACATGGCTAAATCATAAATAAACACATGTATGTACTAACATTAAAATGTACACTGAACAAAATACACATTGACATATATTTGAGGATGGATAAAACACAGCGATAGAAAATTCATAAATATAACATCACACCAGAATAAACAAAAAACAAACAAAAAAAACAATGTGATAAATATTGAAGTCTTTTGATTACGCAATCAGTATGTGTCAGTTCTATGTGTCATGTCTTAAAGAGAAATTAAACAGATCTTCCACAAAAACTACCCGGTAAATAAAAATAAGCAAAACACAATTTAATTATAAACAGAGGGAAATTTTAATCTTGATTATTTCATATACCGGCCAAATTAATGATATTCATGAAGGCTAATTGAAATAACTGATATCTTGACAACATCATGGTGCATAGCTATAATTATAAAAAAAAAAAAAATGTTCCAAATTTGCACCTTCAATTGAATCAATTTCAAATGTGACTTTTATGAATGGAAGCTATTCTACTAAATCAATAAGAAGCACCATGATTTATTCCCCAAGACACATTAAATTCATCAATCTTATACATCTGTATGTTTCTTATTTATAACAGAACCATTTGTGTACTCGTCAATATAGCCCAGCTTTTTGATAGTCCTGTACTGAAGTGGTATTTCCATAAGTGCATGAAGGGCAAAATTTGCATCGGGATGCTTGACTTTAGATGTCACAGAATGATAATCCACAAACTGAAAATTATCAAACTTTCTGTTGGGAAGGCAGTCGTCAAACTCGTCCATAGTGTCCCAGGGGCCATCTCCCACCCCCACCACCACTATACTGAGGGGGTAGTCTGAGGCCTCTACGATAGCGTCCACTGTCTTCTGTTGTTCATTGACCTGTCCGTCAGCTATTATTATAAGTATGTGATACTTATGGGAAGCTTTCACTATTTCTATTGCTTTATGAATGATGGGTGCAAAATTTGTTGGCCCACTGAACATCACTTTAGTGGCAATATCACTGTATCGGTCCAACACCTCTGAGAACCCCTTACACTGAGAATCATCACTGACAAAGGGAAACACAGAATCTCCTAATGTTTTGGTGTCACCAAATCCATAGGCAGGAATATAGTTATCATCATCAAAAGGTTCTAAAGTTTGAGCTATGATAGAGATTACTTTTTGATAAGGGTTATATATCTTGCCATGCACAATTTTGTGCAGACAATTTCCACTGAAAGACTTTCTTCCCTGCCACTCGTTACTAGCCGTGAAATCCACACCAACAATTAATCCACAGTGTTCTAGTCCTGCCCTCTTACAAGCATCACTAACCTCCGAAAACGATCGAAAATGATCATCAATGGCGTAGTAATGTTTGTGGATTTCTACGTCCAGACCAAGCATTGTGAAGAGGGATGGCTTCCTCTTCAGCCTTTTACGTCTGCTGGCTGAATCGTCCGTCTGATCATCCGTGTCTGATTTTTGTGTGGAGTTCCTCTGATACAGCCAATACAGAAGAAACATGACTGCATTGGCCAGGGCATACATTACCAGAGATACGACAGTCATGTTTGTAGTTCACTGCCATCTACAAAACAAAGAAGGCAAGACTGCAGATCATCTTAGAGTCACTAAGGTGATGGAAATATTTCCACCTGGTACAATTAATAGAAAAACCCACTTGTGTGAAACACTTTCAATGTAGTGAATTAGTAATGTTAATGATTATTAAAATACATTTCATTTAAAAAAAATCAATGTAAGTCTAATATCAAATGTTTTATGTAATAATCAATATTGTACATTATATGTACAGTAGTGGAATTCCTATTAATTGTAATAATGACTATTTCTCAAAAAAGTTGACATGAAGAAAATTAACAACATGATGAAAGAGGACTGACTAACAAGTTATAAATTGTTAATGTTGCAATCAGTATCAAAATTAGGATAAAAAATAAAAACACCAAAGTAGACAAATGACACAATTAATACCTCAGACTATGACCCCCCCCTGCACAACCCCACAGAAAGACTGAGTTTAGTACACAAATTATTGTGTATTATCATGTTATAAAGAAAATTAATAGGAAAACAAACAAACAAACTCACCAAATGACAACATCTGAAGCTATTTAACCTCCTTACACGTGACCTAACACTCACTGTAAATTATTGTTTTCCTTGGAAACTCACAGCATGGCCCTAAACATTTCCTCACGTGTATAAACAAGATGGTGAAGATTTAAATCTAACATACCAAGATTTTTTATTGTTGTGCCAAGATTTTACCTGAATTCAGGGGTTAAAATCAGAGATCAATTATGTAAACGACCACCTGTTGGGATTTAATTTTCTGTCTGAGAGATTAATGAAAAATTAAACACCTCTGTTTAACTGTTTAATACATGATGTGATGTACAATGTTTTGTGACACATCTCAGTTTTAAGCTTAGGCTACCATCTACTTGTGAACTTGTAATACATTGTATCACTGAAAGTGAATGAATTAGATGCACATAAGTGTCAAAATAATCTTTCTTGCATTTTTTTGTTTAAGATTGCATAGATTGTCGAACCACTTTCTGTATACTTAGTGAAAATCAATATAGAAGTATATTGATTTTGGCTGCTCATTCAGTTACTTATCATAGAAAAATTAATATGACAACATCGTCAAGGGCACAAAAAAGAAAAGAATCCAAGTTCACTTCCATCTGTGTATCACCGAATTCACCAGTATTGTCATGATTTGGGGGGAGGGATATAAGAATCACTGTTTATGAAGTAAAAATAATCAATTTAACCTTTAAAGTGATACATCATACTTACTCTCTATATATATATAATGACTCATGTTAAAATCATTGACAGATTTAACATATGTGTTTTTACTAAACACATTGTATATGTATAAATATAAAATATCTGCCCAAGTGTCACCTTTGTGTTCAGGAGATGCTATTTCTGGATAAGTACACAGCTGTTTGTTTACTAATGCATTAAACACATTGCAGGATTTAAGTAAACATTTAGTCTGACTTCCTAGCCATATTAAAAACATTCTCTCTTACCGTTCTCTGGGCCTTTCTCCGCCCCTCATTAGATCCACTCCCTCACTTCCAAATCTTGGCTATCTGTTGCACACTACAACACAAACAGTGAATTGTTCTGAATAAAGATTTTTTTCTCCAGTATATCTATTTGTTATTCCTGTTGACTGCACAAGGCTTCACTGTTCAATGATTTCACTCCATTTTGTTTGGACACACATGTAGACTATATATGTAGGTATACATTAGTTGTCCTTACTTATACAGTGTACAGGTATCACAGTTTTATTAGTACACTATAGTAATTATATAACAAACTTGATAGACTAATCCACATTACAACAGGACTCGGTAACACCAAGTAACGTCCCTCTCTTCACAAGCTGCCAAGTGAGCACGTCCCAATCGGGATTCCTCAATTCGTAATCCTATTAGGTCCGATTCATTATGAAATGACAGTATTTATATGGCTGTGTCAATAATTGATGCAGTTTACACCAGTTAGGCTGAGACCATCAACATGTCCATACATCATATCATTACTGCTCAGAGAAAAATATTGATATCAGTGTTCAGGGTTAAAATGACTAATTGTATTTCTCAGAATTTTGTATCTGGGAAAACAAGACATTAAGTATCAAATTGCATGAAGGAAAAACCTGAAACTCATGGTACATGGAGGATGGAATGATAGAATATAATTGATCTTTTTAGCAAGAAAAGAGTTTTCTTAAAAAGTGCCAATTATGATCATCTGAACTCCCTTAAAAATTATATAATTGAGAGATACCACAAGATCTTAGGGCCACCATTGGGTGACTGCAACATGCATCATGGGAGAGGTTGACAGGTGGTGCTAATTTAAATCAATGGAACTCATAGAGAAGTCACCTCAAAATGGACAGCAGACATTGATTGGGCCGATAACCAACCAATCTCTCCTCGAAGTGTCAGAAACAGACTGCTTCTCCCCAATTTAAAGTCGTTAGCCTGATAAGTGCATTAACTGCACTTACTTGAAGCAGATTCTGTAACAATATATTACAGCCCTTCTATGTATATGTCATACATAAGGGGTCAATTCCAATAAGGACTAACACAGTCCATGGAGACATTAAATGTACAGTACATGTGAATACCAGTGCATGCTGACATGATAGCAGCTAAATATTAATTACTATTAGTAATCTACTTATTACTGCACATTGTTACAATATTGCCTCCTAACTTGTCTAATATTTCAAACTGTACACTCTCACCTATTTGTCATTTGTATGTTCGAGCATTAGTAGGTGAAACACTACTGGCACAAACTCTACTAACACCCTTAGTCAATTGTCATTCTCCAAATTTAAAATATTTTATGAATTTATGGTACACGCAGAAGGTTTTTGTGGTCCCCCTATAAACAATTTTGACTGTACTACAGGTCATTCTAACATTCCATAGCAAACAAGCATGTCAATAAACACGACACCTAGCATACCTTAACCTTCTGTATCTCTGTTCTCTGTATAGAGTATCTTTATTGTAGGTATCCATGGCTGTCTACATAAGACTTTAAATTACAACACTAAGCTGACTAGAAGTACCTCCTTAACAGGTTATATATGACAGAGGTGTAAGATAAACTGATAAACTGGGACAGTCAGAGACAATGGTCTTAACCAATAACCAAAGGCAAACTAACTTTATATCTGTTATAGAACCATACTAAAACATAGTTAAAAAGACTCTGGTCATTGATTTCATTCTCAGAAGTGTACAATTCAGAAAGACTGTTCACTGTCAATACTAAGTGGCCACCACTAGACAAACAGTAAGATGTCTGACAGATCACCATGCCTGAACATTCTCGGGTTTGTGTGATTTACATTTTTTCTGATTACTCCTATCTGTTATCTTAAATAAAGAGGCGTAAAGTTTATAAGCTAGAAAATCAATAGCAAACTAACTCAGATTTCAAACTAATGAAGAATCAAGCATGCTTAATGTATATTTGTGAAATATAACCATAGCTCTTAATGGTGTATTTAGACAACTGTTAGGAGACTATAATAATCATAAATAAATCATAAATGAATAAATCAATAATAATATGTAATTTTAGAGTGAGAAAAAGAAATGTAGATGCCATTAAAACCAGACCCATTAAAGGTCAAAACATTTACATTTGGAAATGAAAACAACATCAAATGATCGGACTCCAATAATGCATCCTGGATTTAGCATTACAGCCCAACACAAAAGAAATTGGACTTGATGGGAGTAAATCAGCTGATTAAAACACTTTATCTATTGATTGGAAAATCCATAGGAACAATAAGCTGACTAATGGCATGCATTACTTTCCATGATTTCAATCAGTTGAGCAATCTAAATCCCTCTGTAAAATTTTATTGCTTTATCAGTGTTTATTTATAGGAAAGAAATCAACTTATCTCCGAGGTAATATATTTTTTATTCTAAATCATCATTCATGTTTTTATTAATAATCTGTATGTATAGGTCCGGTGATAAACTAACAATGTGTGACAACTATTTATGAGAGAAATTAAGAAATTATATAATATGCATGTTTCTAGAGAATGTATTGAAATATTAGGCCTGCCAAGAAAACTAAATAAGATCCAAAGGAAATTCTGAATAATCACGTCACTTCAGGGTTGTCAAAATAATATGCGTAGTAAAACTTGAACAGAGATAGTCAAGTTGTGAGCTAAAATGACAGCACAACTCTTTGGGACAGAATATTGACATTTCCTCATTGAAATCAATGATATTTCAAAATATTAGTATTTGGTGCGAATTACATAAGGATTGGTGAATTATATGTCTCAAATATTAGCTTCCAAGCTGAGAAAAAAAACTAATAGAGGGCGGAGCCCTCTCACGGGCCCGAAGGGCCCGTGAGAGCGAAGCTCTCCCTATAGGTAACACGTATGTATGTAAAATATAATGAATTCTATTGTAAACTATATTTTTATTACAATACCTATGGAACTGAGAACCTTGTCGCCAATATGGCGTCCATAGTCTTTTCCATCTTGAATCTCGCGACAAAATACCGCATAGACGAGATGCTGGTGAATCGTAATTTTAATTCCAATCCTGTGTTAATGAAGTTTTATCAATTCCAATAATCAAAAACACCCTTATAGTACACATCCTTGTTACTTTCGTTTTCAACTAACTTGCAATCGATCGTCATAGACCCGACATGTGACGTCATTCATTGAATGAATCAGCAGAAACTGCCGACTTTTTAACAACCTGTAATAACTGATATTTCATATGCGTATTCTCTTTTTAAAAATAGATTTTTTCAACTTTAATAAACCATACCATGCTTTTTGGAGAAATAAACGTGGTTTAACGAATTTCAGTGACGTCACTGTTTAGACTGCATACTATGCACTATGGAGGCGCGGATCTTTCTGTGGCCCCTTTCACTAAAAATCTTACGACTTTATGGGAAAACACGAATGTCTTTATAGGTTTATTCTCAGAAATATATAATTTTTTGTGACATATAATTTTCCTCTTGAATAATTAGAAAAAATGTTTTAGTGGTAAAATATTTTGTGGAAAGGTTTACTGAATTCTGGTAATGGACCCAACAAGGTGGGGGGGGGGGGGGAGGGGAAGTTATGGATTTTTTTTTTAATCTTTTTTTTTTTTTTTAATTTTCATTCTTGCACCCTAATTGTTTTTTAATTACCATGTTGTTGATGTATACATTTGCAGGTTGAGGCCTATGTCTCATTTCTGTTGTTGTTGTAAATTTGTTTGTTTGTTTGTTTTGTTTTTTTTTCTTCATTTTTTTTTAAAGTGTCAAATCTCAGTTCCTGTAGCTCACCATCAAAAAAAAATCTTTTTAACATGTCTGAAGCTCAAACAACCCCATTTGACTTTGTTATCTTTTTAGAATTATAGATTTTTTCACCTGACAAACACATGTTCCCTATAATATATCATATTATACATGTTGACACACTTGAATGGATCGAATGTATAATTTTAAAAAGCTTGAGGATTTCTAGTTTTTGTCAGTTTTAAAAAGTACTAATAAAAGTATAGAACAGAAAATTTATTTAACCAACTGGAACCTATGGTGGATTATGATAGTGTATAAAGTTCAAAATCATATGTAATTGAGAAAAACTAAGTTAAACAATCATTATGTTCTCTTTAAAAAAAGCATATACAGAATCTTCATTAGATATTACCCATGGTAATACAATTAGTAAAGTAGCAGTACTAAAAATATCTTCTTTTACGCTTCCATATATGATCCTTTTAATAATTGTGTGGTGGATGTTACAATTAAACACCAATTACTGTGATACAGAGGGGGTCGATACAGCAATAAATAATTTTACCTTTTATTTTTGTTTATAAAAAAAATCCTGAAATCTACATTTTTCATTGAAATTAAGAAAATAATTAATGGAAAACTGATTAATGTAAAAAAAAAAAAAAAAAAAAAAAAAAAAAAAAAAAAATGTATCATACATGCATTGCAACATTTTTCTCTGAAATTCTGCGATACATCATGATATTTTTAGCCCTAGTGTTGGTCAAGTGATCAGTTTCCCATTGTCCTGATAACCCAGGAAGTAGATCATCTGTCTATAATTTGGGTCCCAAGTTCAATTTCTGATGTGGTCCATGACAATTGTCCTTATTTGTATTTGATGTCATGGCCATGCACGGGGAGTAACAGATGAGAATTAAGTGGCTGGATGTTTCTGGATTGGTGTCTTTAAATGTGCATGTAGTCATGAAAGATTAAGAAATGATGCTCAGGCATGTTCATTTATTGTTGAAAAGATACATAGGTGAAAGACTTAACGTCTTAAAAATGGAATGCTTGGGCAATTGGGTAGTTTGAACAGTTGAATGCTTGATGGTCTGGAGCAAGGTCTCTCTTTCCCTGTTATGCTATTTGATTTTGAGTGCTCTGGCTAGGCAACTCATGTCATTACAATTTGATTTTTATCATTAAACAATGAAATGTAGAAATGTTGTCTTGACAGCTCCGCCCTCACTAACGGTCGCACCGTCTAACATATTAAATTTGCAGTCGTGGTGCTGAAATTTACATTTCTGATCATTTCATATGCCAGAGCAGTCTCTAACTCTAAGAAAACATTAGATGATTGGTCTACATTTATAAAAGACTCTTAGTGCAATGGATATAAACCTTTAAATAGCTTCAATTATTTTCTTTTAACTTACCGCCAAATCATGCGAAATATCTACAAGCAAGCATTGTGAGAACATTCAACATTTCAACATCCACATTTTGGAGCATCGGGTTCGATCAACGAAGCGCGATCCCGAGGATAAAGACCACTGGATTGTTGGAATCGGGGGTGGGGGTATCCCAATACTTTTGCCGACATATAGAATACTATAGAAAACAGCTACTATATGCTTGTGTCCCCTCAATAATATAACGTCTGATACCCTTTTTTTTGCTTGTCAAGGAATTTTATTTTTGGTAGTTGATAGCCCCCCCCCCCCAATCTAAAAATGTATAGCTGTGCCCCCTCCAAACTGAAATTGCTTCCTACGAGCCTAAAAGGGATGCAAATAATAGGTTAATTTCTATATTCTTCCAAGGCAGGAACTTCTGGGGGCTTGACTACTATTCCAAGACCTTTAAATATAAAAATATTTGTGTTTTTTTTTTTAAATTATCATTATTACTTTAATTTTTTTTAAAAATTAATTCTCCTCATTTAAAAAATAAAACATATCCTCTTAAGATTATCATTTTTGTAGGCAGGAACTTCTGGGGGCTTGACTACTATTCCAAGACCTTTAAATATAAAAATATTTGTAGTTTTTTTTTTTAAATTATCATTATTACTTCAATTTTTTTTTAAATTAATTCTCCTCATTTAAAAAATAAAACATATCCTCTTAAGATTATCATTTTTGTCGTACTAAATTTCTAGAATCCAGGAGCCATTCCCCTGTTTAATCAGCTGGCACCCCTCTTACTTCGAATCCTGGATCCGCCCCTGTTTTTACCTTAATTTTTAACAGCATCTCCAGTCAGAGCATAGACATAAGAGACATAGATGTCTCTGGTTCAAGTACATTCGCCCAGTGGTGTTACCTTTTTTTTTTTAGAAAACCAGTATAAAATTCTGTCAAATAAATGTTAAGAAACTCTGAGAGGAAATTAATTTTATACAGGCGCGGATCCAGAAATATTTGAAAGAGATGGAAGTTGAGAAAATTTTGTTTGGCATAACGTATGTTTACATTTAGAATCTAAGGCGTGTAAGTTTGATAACAATGAATTTTAAAAATCGTGGAATTTCAATAAATAAACATAGACACACTGTGCAACTCAAACTTACCATAGTGAACATGTTCTGTGAAAAAAAGAAAAAAAAATGTATTCCGAGTTGCATAGTCAGTCTTTATGTAAAAGGCATTCTTTGGTCTGATTCATAGTAGGTCCAGGGGAACGTTTTTTTAGGGGGGGGGGGGGGCAAAATTTTCCATTTCCCTGTTAAAAGGCCTAATAAAATATATATTATATGAAAACTTAAAAAAGTCTAATTTTTTCCTTGACATATTTAGTAACAAATAGAAAAGGATGCTTTTAAGTATATTTTTATACTGTTAATTCGTAACTTTTTAAGTTTAAATCAGTATAGACATAGATTATTTTTCCGTTTGAGGAATTTATCTTTTTATCGTCATTTAGACCTACATTTTCTCAATCTTGATTTTCTTCCATGATCGCACGGACATATTAAAGATATTGTTTAATCTTTCTCATCTTTTCCTACATTTTTTTCTTTCGACCCTCTTTCCTTCCAACATTTACCCTATATCCGTCCTTACTGATTTCCTTCCACTGAGAGTCGCATCAGATATCAAAGATAAATTTTTCCTAGGATTTTACTTTTTTTTCAGCATCTTTATCGATCATCTTTCCTTCCGCCATTTACCTTTCCATTTTGATCTTCTTCTTAGATTTCAGGGACGTCACAAATAAACCAAATAAAGACATTGCTTATACTATTTTCATTTTTCCCCTTCTATTTAATTATTTTCCCTTTATCTTGAAGACATAGGATACTAAAAAAAAATACGCTGTAGAAATTTGTTTGTTTTGTTTTGAACATATTTTATTGATGAAATCAAAAGAATTGGAAACAATTTCTAAAATAACTTACCAGTTCCTCTCCTAAAAAAAAAAAAAAAACGAAATTTGTTTAACAGTTCGTACAGGTAATATTATTGCTATAACGCATACTTATTACGAAATTTACTGTAGTGTTACTGTGTAACAGATTAATTCAAAAATAATTAGCACCCTTGGTGATGGGAATTAATTTTTTTTTCAAATGAAAGGTCGTGACCTTTTCATAAAAGTGTATGAAGTTATGAACTATTTTTTACACGCATTCCTAACTCTCACTATAGAAATACATAAGTGTCAAAAGCTAGTTCATTATTTTGTTTACACACTCAACCAAGACTTATGACCATAAAAGGTGATACATTTTTTTCTTGGTAGGAAATAAATCAATTTTGTCTAAATAGATTTGTTTATTTACCAAACATGAAATGTACAACATTATTTGGTATAACAACTATAGAAAACAGGAATATCATTTTCAACATGAATACCTTGGATTTTTTAAGGAAGAAAATTTAACAAAGATTTTTGTTAATGTGATATAAGCACACATATAAAGTATAAAGGAAAACTAAAGGCTGTGTCATAATTTTTAAACAAAGTCTCTCTGGTGTTTATTTCTTGTAGATCAAAGTCATGTCAATATTTGACAATATTTTCATTTTTTTAAATCAAAATACACAATGTTAAAAATTAAAAACAATAACAAAACTAAAAAAAAAAGATAATTTTACTTTTCAAATCAGATAAAGAACCAATTTGTCTTTCACTTTCATTTTTGAATGCCTTTTACTTGGTTTAATACTACACATTTAATTTTTCTAAAACTTGACAACATTTGTGATATAACCTTGTGATATATATAACTTTGAGGAAGGTCATGGTCAGCATCTATAAATAACAACCACACTTGTTTAGTTTAAAAATTTTGGAAGTCCCTATAACACAGAGGTTAATTCTCTTTGTTTTGGTAAATACATTAATTAGACTATGGATTTTTCTATCACAAACTGTATGCCATGTCAAATAAAATTCAAGATGTCTATTAAACAAATAACACATTGTTTTGAAGAATAAAAAAATAATTCATTAGGTGCAATGTCTAATGTACAATGTACATCAACATATTAATTTTATTCTTGTTTTACAATGTATTTAAAATTCACACTTTGATTTTCAAAGTACTTCCAATAAAAAAGCAACAAATATCAACATTTCTCTTAATTGGATCTACCAATCACACGATGAGAATGTTTGTAGTATTAGTCAGAGAAAAAAATACTCTTGATTTCAAGTGACCATGTGGAAAATAAGAACCATCTTTGTCATGTATTCACGCATAGACAATACAAGGAGAGGTACTACAATTTTCTGCAGGAGAAAATGATCTACATAAGAAACTTTATTTACAGCCTTTTAAATACATGAACTGTAATCATCTCAAGAGTAAAATTGCCAGTAAAAAAGCATCTCTCCTCAATAAGACGCCCTTCCTTCTTATATCTAAGAGTATACTTGAAGAAGAGAACAGGATATGTGGTAAGGGGCAAATCTGGCCTCTCATTTGACAAACCCCGATAAGAATCAAAACATGGGTAAACTTGTAATTGTTTAAGAACCTTTAATGATGTCTGGATTGATCACAGTGCAGATTTCGCTATACTACAGAGATGAATAGGAAGTGATCATTTAGAACAATTTTCTGGATTTCCCTCTTTTTTGGTGATTTTTTGTAAATTTTTTGATACATTTTGCCTTGAAAGCACAGAGTGCAAACAAGCCTATACTTGATTTACATATTAAACAGATGTATCTGATACTAGTCAATTAAATATGCAAAATTGGTAGTGTATCAGCTTGATAGTGTACTGTGTTCCCTGAAGCAAAATGTACATAATCAGAATCAGAAAATTTTATTTAATGTCCGATGTACAAGTAGCAACTAACACAAGCTCTGTAGAGTTCTTTTACCGACATAATAATTGATCAAAAATGAAAAAATTAAAGAAAATAAAAAATTGTTCAAAATTTTGAACATGCAATGACATTTGTGCATGAATTTACTTTTAAATGAATTCAGTTTTGAAATAATCATAATCACATATCATGATTTAAATATGAATACAGGACTCTTCTACAGTTCATCAAACAAATGGGCCAAAAAGGGGCTTACCTAACCTTGTTCCATATATGGATATTGCTGAGAAGGAGAAAACCCTTGCTTTGTATATTGATGAGTATGAATGTAGATTAACCCCTTTTAGACATGTTGTAGTTACTGATATGCATACCTTATTACCACTTTTGATCTGAATTTTAAACATCCTGAGGGTTTACTGCAATGGACATGGCAGACAGTTTATAGTATAAATTAAATTTTTATACGTAAGATTTGCACAGCAATTGAATTTACTGTGGATCAACCTTATGTTGACCCCCCTTCCACCCCACCCCCCCCCCCCCCCCAAAAAAAAATTAAAATGTTTGCAACAGAATGGCAGAAAAAAAATTCCAATCCATTTCCATAAAAAATAATAAAACCTCTCCTTCACATTTTATTACAAATAACCTTGTATGTAAATAATAAAGGTGAAACATTGAGACAGAGAAATTCTAACACAGTTCCCTATGAGGGAAAATGATTGTCTCACATCTAGTCAAAAAATCAAAACATTTTGAAAAGTATTTTGAAAAGTAAACACATGTACAACTGTAAATGTAAATGATTCCTTATTTGTATCTTATTAAAATCCCAATACAAAAAAAAACTAATAACTTTCAGGCTTATGGTAACATCATCCACCTGCATGGTTAATAGATTAGAAATAAATTTTTGTGTCAAAAATCGGCTGAAATTATGCCATCACTTCAGTATCAAAGCCTGCAATTCTAAAACAAATATAGGCTGCAAGGCTTAAAATCAGATTCCATTCTCATGTCCATTTTACTATATTCAACAAGACTATTATAAGTCAATAAACTCAAAATTAAATGTATATATAACTGTATATTAAAAATAGTAACAAAAGCGAGCCTGGAAAAAAAAGGCCATATAGGACTATAAAATCAGTAATACTGAGGGAGGAAAAAACACAGTCATCTGCTTAGAGAAATGTTGTAAATGTGTCGACTCTCTGAACTTCCTGAATGTCTTCTAAGTTTGTGTGTAAATGTGTCGACTCTCTGAACTTCCTGAATGTCTTCTAAGTTTGTGTGTAAATGTGTCGACTCTCTGAACTTCCTGAATGTCTTCTAAGTTTGTGTGTAAATGTGTAGACTCTCTGAACTTTCTGAATGTCTACTAAGCACCTTGCTCTTGGCTATACATTTATTATATTACTGGCTCAGTAAAATTCTTTTTTCTACAATGTTTTCAACTAAATATGACAAAAATGCTTTAAAATCTAGAGATACAGAGATTTCGCTAAGCTATTGGGCATTTTCTCTCTAAAAGTAAAAATGTAAGATTCGCTACTCTTAATACAATAACAATAATGACACATAAACTTTGTTATCACAAAATATACTATATCAATATTATGGAAGCGTATAAAAGAGATTTACTTATGTAACATTCATTATCTTGGAACATCTTTAAGTGTAATTTTTGTTTTTGGAGACGTTCCCCGTGTTCTGTTACTAGTGGCGCCACCTTGCTGTATGATGGTATGTCCCTCCGGCGCAACTGATATTGTTGTATGTAAATGTCCGTCATGCTTATTCACAAAATCCCCTGCTGGGGTAGGGTTAGAAGACACCCTTTTCAATGCTTTTTTACCCTCAGACTTGAATGTCTTGGTAAAAACTCCTTTCTGAATGAAGAGTCTAGCATTGCCCACTGCTTGTCTGGTTGTTCCCGGTGCACGAAGGTCACTCAGATGGGCAGCATATCCCTCACTCAGTACCTGAAAATAAATTCAGTTATAATTTTACTCTGTGCAAAACAGGAAAAATTATAATTATTGGTACTTATGTATAACATAAAGGGTTTTACTAAGCACTGTGCAGCCACTTCGCTGTGATTAAATACAGCTGATCATAATATACTCAAAAAATATGAATAACATACCTGAGCATGACTCATATGTTTCCTGGAGGACTTTCCTACTATATATATCTGTTGAGGAGTAAGGCCTAGTTCCTTATAGACATAGATATCCTTGTTTGAGCCATAACCTGCCTTGAACAGCAACTGAGCCTAAAACAAGGAGGAATTAGTTGTATCAGATGACAATTCATACACAACCTACCAACTCACAACACTAATTAACACATTAATCAATAACATATGCATACGTCCACAAGATTTAATAAGATACTGCGTAAAAATCACATCCTCCCTTCCAATTAATATAAGCCCCCTTTCCTAATAAATCACTTTAGTTTTCCGATACTGATATCTGCAGCTCAGCAAATTCTAACCATCTCTCCTGCTCTGAATCCTGACAAACCACTGACTGTACACTAACCTCAGACTGGAGGGATTTGAGGTATGCTAGTTTTTGTTTCAGAGGTTCCTTTGACAGACCATCCATAAATGCTACCATTCCGTGGGGAAAGTTATGCATTGCAAGCCAGGACACCACCTTTTTATGTTGCATGTCTGGACGGGCCGTCACGTACAGAATCAGGTAGCCATGCTCTTGCCAGTGTCTGCAATTTAATAGAGTTTCTTTCATAAAAATAACATAATCAGCAACTGCCGATACCCATAAAAACTACATTAACTAAAAACAGCCTAAAATATTGGACATTGGTCAAAAAACATAGTTTGCTATCATGATTCTTTTTTTTTTTTTTTCAAATATTTTCATTCAGCTTCTAAAATCCTATAGAAAGACTTGCATTAAGTTGTCCACTGTTTCAAGCAAACAGTTCCCTACATATAATAACACATTACATTCATCATAATGTTTAAACTTAAGCACTGGCATTCTAATTGGTAAATTTTGCTCTCCTAACCTGGCAATGCTAATCAAATCTGTGTTCATGTAAGACTCGAAACAAAATTATGCTGTTGATCATATCTCTACACACACCTGACAACATCCACCGCCCCTGGTCTGACTTTTGGATCCTTCCCCGAGATAGACATACTGGCAGTGAAGGAACCATCAATACTGAATACAACTGTCTCTGTTTTAGGGGGGAGGACACACAGGTAAAAATCGGCTGAACTGTGGTCACCCCTACAAAACAATATGACATGTATAAGAAGGGAAAAATGCTGCAAGGAATATTACTTATTTTTTTCCTAATATGCTTGACAGCCCAACTATTGGGGTGAGAGTGGTTGTGTATATTTTACTGGATACCATCAAAACTTTAACATTCTAGCTTACACTTTTAACTTAGATATGCCTCTTCATACCGCATGAGACTCAGTCTAGATTGACATATGATGATGTCATATGTTAGCTGCATTTCCATAACCAAAAATCTAAAGTGCAGATTTTTAACAAAGAGCACTTTTATTCTCTGTCTGCAATTTTTTGTTTGGTTATAACGAGAATGTACTTTGAGCAGCCATATGCAATTTACAGAGGATTGTGGGTACAGAGTTTATTGCCAAAAAAAAATTCTATTGGATCTGTGTGCAGTAGTCCAATTTTATTTTTTGAAGCATTTTCTTAATAAAAATTACACTATACAGAAGAAAGTAGCACTTTTACAGTGGAATTACATTTAAATAATTCATGAGAGCCAATCCTTGTAAAATTGCTTATAATTTACTGGTTTGTGGGGACATAATTTTGTAGGCCAAGGTTTTATCATAAAAGATAGAATATACTGATCAATATTTGTCAAGGTTGTCAATTCATGGGGGGTGGTTACTAACGGAAAATGATCCCGAAAAATTTATCGATTCTTCACTATATTCCATTTATTTCACAGAAGCTTTCTTTTTCATATTTCCAATATTGGCCCTGCGGTCTGTACCTGACCACCACTTTGACTGGGTGCATGCCCTGTGGGAGGCTTTTACTGGCTGGAATTGTAAATTGAAGTTTTCCATTTTTATCTGTGACATCCGTTCCCATGTACTGCCACTCTCCATTGAGCTGGTCCATCACATGAACATCAACCTGGGGAAAAGATTCATCTTTGATAATCTTCCTTATACCTCAGAATAATATTCTGATACTAAGTAATATTCATTAAAAGACAGTCATACTGAGGAGAATTTCCAGTGGATATTCCAAATAAAAAGTTAAACAATCACACAAAAGTTGTATGTTTTGGGGTGTTATGTAACTTTAAAGATGTTAAGCTGATAGTTCAAAGCTATGGATGGATAAAAAGACAAGCCCATGAGCTACAATGCTCAACTGACTGAGCACATTGGCTAGGAAAAAGCAGAAATCAGTTCAGCATTGAAAAGTTTACCGGGGGGGGGGGGGGGGGGGGGCTTGAATTTACACTGCTACACTACCTCAGGATGCTTCTATATCAATATTTCTAATCATGGCTTTGCTGTTCTTGAGCAGAAGAATTTTAAAGATTTTTTCCTATATAAAACTCTGAACTCTCATTGTGGTCCCACCCTACCCAATCTAAATTTGATCAAATTTGAATTTACACTACCAGAGGATGCTTCTGTAATAATATGACTTATCATAGCTTTGCTGTTCTTAAGCAGAAGATGTTTTTTAAAATGATTTCTATGTATTCTTATGTAAAACTTTGGCCCCCTGTGTGTCTGCCCCCACCCCCCCCAGGGGTCATGATTGGAACAAACTTGAATCTACACTACCTGAGGATACCTCTATTATAATATGACTAATCATGGCTTTGCTGTTCTCAAGAACATTTTTTTTAAGGTTATGATATCAACAAACTTTAATCTAGAGTATGTAATGAAGCTTTCAATTAAGTTTCATATTTTCTTGTCCAGTGGTTTTTGAGAAAAAGATTTTTAAAAGATGCCTTAAAATTTTCATGGATTCTTATTATCTCCCCTTGAAAAAGGGCATGACACTTCCTGTGAACAAATTCCCTTCACCCAAGGATGCTTTGTGGCAAGTTTGGTTGAAATTGGCCCACTGGATCTTGTGAAGAAGTCAAAAATGTGAAAAGTTTACAGAAGACATGCACATCAGACACTCTTTGATCAGAAAAACTCACTTGAGCCTTTGACTCAGGTGAACTAATAAATAGACACGTTGGCCAATTTCATGATGCCTGAGCCACAAAAGTGATGAAAAGATATTTCTCCTTTAGATACACCTGTATATTAATAACAGACTTACCTTCTCGCCTGACAATGATGTGACATCGAACGAACCATACATGAACCTAGCTGTGATAACCTGTGGTTTATCCTCAAGCACCATGACATCATTCCCTCTGTGATTTGGATGTAAATTCTGTCAAATATAAAATTGGTTGCCAGAAGAAATGTTTATAATTGGTACACTTTCCATCTTTGATGGTGAAATTATCAAATTATAAAGCAAGAAGAAAACACAGTTCAATTCAAAATGGGGTTGAAACCATTCTCACTGATTCTCATCTTTATGCTATGTCTGAAATAACATTCCCTGATTTAACAATGTATCCGAATCAGGTTCTTTCACCACCTAGCATGATCTTCATGGTATTTCTACCACCTACCTTGACCTTTATGGTTGTTCTGCGTTTTAACCACTTTTCCCGTGCAGACTTCCCTATCAGACTGGACTGTAAATCTAACTCATCATCTATGTGCTCACACAGTGAGGCATCATATCTAAGCACCTGAAAATTTACAGAATAAACAAAGCTTTAGTATATTTATGCCATATAAGTGTATCTGAAGGGCAACATAATGATACACTTGGTTTTTTTTCTAGTATCTTATAGCTAACTTCATCAGTCAATGCTTTACACTCTATTTTAGCTTACAGGTAATAAGCCTCACCTGACGGAGGATAAAGGAAGTGACATCAGAAGATTCCCAGAAGCTGGCATGGAAGAGATGTGGAAGGGCGGAGATTGGAAATGTGTGGAGCACCTCAGGACAATACAGGACATAGTCCACCCTTTTATTGCCCCACCACCGACTGGTCACTGTCAAATCATAAATCTAAGTCAATCACTGTCAAATTATAAATCTAAGTCAATCACTGTCAAATTATAAATCTAAGTCAATCACTGTCAAATTATAAATCTAAGTCAATCAGAAATAACACTGACTGGTCACTGTCAAATTATAAATCTTAGTCAAAATACTGACCATTGGTAATTAAATACTGACTACTGGTAATTTAATACTGACCTCTAAAAACTAAATACTGACTACTGGTAATTTAAAACTGGCCTCTAAAAACTAAATACTGACTACTGGTAATTTAATACTGACTACTGGTAATTGAATACTAACCATTGGTGATGAAGGACACAGTGGACTCGCCTAGACCAGACATCTGAGATATGTTACTGGTGATACTCCCCTGTCTTTGTAATGGTGGACCTGATGAACAGCGACGATTGGTAAACAAATTCAGATTACTCTGTACCGTCTCCACTGAAATGTTCAAAATAATCCACTTAAATTATACACTATTGATCCTACTTCTGATATTTCATAAACCCAATGCTGCAAAACTTTGTGTAAAGTGTGATCGTCAACAATTTCTGCATGACAGCCTAAGACTCATTATATAAATTTGGGATCTATACACATCCTTAAATCATAGCAACCTGTTTGTTAAGTATGACCCTTTACATCTTAACAAAAGAATATATAGCTTTATGCAGGCATAGCTTAAGCCAGGGATATTAAAAGTTTGAATCAACTGAACGTGACTGATGACCTCTGTTTAAAATGTACACACATTCACCAATTCATGTGTCAAATTCCCAGCCAAAAATAAGGCCATAGCATGACTTTTACATCTTTTCATTCAGTGACCTTCACTTTGTGTAAGTGACCTTGGCTTTGTATCACATAGCTCCCTCAGGACACTAGTAATATTTGTGACAATTATAGGCTTCTAAAGTATTTCCAGAATATAGATATGTAGATATATATATGTAGATATGGTGACTTCCATTATCCCATCTCTGTCTACAGTAAAACATGGTTATAAAGAAGGACCTCTAACATACTTCCTTATTACCTAGATTCTCTATATCTGTATATCTGTATTAGATACAGAGTAAATAGTCACCAAGGGGATTCATCAAAAATTCCTTATGACTGAGATTTCCTTATAACCAAGTTCTTTATAACTAAGTTTTACTGTATTTTGTAATTGAATGGCAGATTGAAAATGACTTGTTCTAGTGTATATAGGCAAGATCTGATTAGGGACTCCCCTGATCTCTCAAACCAGGAGGATTGACGGTGCTGAAAAAAAGTGATAGGATATGCTGATATAAGACTGTCTACTCAGAGTGGATAGTGTTAATACCTTATATACATACCTACATGGATAGGTTCTCCATTTCCTAGAGGAAACTTGTTGTACCTTGAGATCTTTACAGGTGGAATAAGCTTGAATGAATCATGGATAAGAGGCTCCAGTCTCACTGCTGCAGGGTCACTGGAGTGGAACAAATTATACACCTGATTGCACATGGGACTTTGGGGTGGGGCATCATCCCCCATGGTCATTCTCCTGTAGGCAAGGACAAGACCCAGAGGAGCACCCAACATAAAGAACTCAGACACCTCAAAGTCCAGCTTGAGATAAGTTCCATCAAAGTTACTCCCTGTACTGGTACGTCTGACATGCTCTGGGTGTTCATTCACATGGAGGTGGGTCCCTGATTGTCTCTGTGCAGAGTTCTGCCTCCTCAGTTTGTAGTCAGTGGACAGTGTGTCACTTTTACTTAATTGTTTGTCAGACATTACTGTGTTACACACACAGTCTTTGATCTCACAGCACTTTGAGAGATCAGGGTCACTAAGACTTAACTGATGGCTGGAGTCAGATGTTCGTACGATGGAGCACCGAGGGTTGCTTTCATTTAGACTGTTGTTACTGTCATATGTACTCAATCCTCTCCCGTAGTGAAGACCAGGCATTGTCAGGGCATCATAGGCCATCAAGGACCCGGTGGAATCTGCCAGCAGACACACCTGCAACAAACAGTTGCAAATACTATAACCTTTTCACTGCCAGTTACCACAAATTAAACAAATACTGTATACAGGGTTATTTTCATTCTTTCATACCTGCAAACAATTTTCCCCTATTTTGAATTCAACCATAAACAGTTCTGTTAAAAGAGATAATGCCATTTTCTTTGAATTCACCCATTTTAAATTTGCCCAATTGCAGCGAGGGTTAAAGGGGCAAAAATAAAACAGGGGTGAGAATTTCCCTGTATACAGTAATCATAATTTAATCTTTCTTTGTTCTCCTACAAGACTGTCATATTTTGTTTATTATATTGCCCTCCACTGACCTACAGAATACCTTCCTTGCCTTACGTGTTCATCCCTTATAGGCCTTACCTCTCCCTTAAATCACTTGCCCTCCCTTAACCTAGTGACTACTCTCCATGAAATCTTCTATGTATTATCTGTTCATTAAATCCCTTGCCATGCCTTACCTATCCATTAAATCCCTTGCCCTTTTCTGACCTTATGAATACTCTCAATGCCTTATATGGCTACTAAATACCTTGCCATGTCTCAACTGTCCAATAACATCACCAGACACCTGTCCATTAAAATCATTGCCATGCCATACCTGTCCATTAAATCACTTGTCATGCCTTACCTGTCCATTAAATCCCTTGCCATGCTTTATCTGTACATTAATCCCTCCATGCCTTATCTGTCCATTATATCCCTTGTCATGCCTTACCTGCCATTAAATCCCTTGCTATGCCTTACCTGTCCATCAAATCCCTTGCCATGCCTTACCTGCCCATTAAATCCCTTGCCATGCCTTACCTGCCCATTAAATCCCTTGCCCTCCCCTGAGCTGAGGAAGTCCTGGTACACCAGGTTGGCCTTGGCCACCATTTTATTGACACTTTCATGATACTCTGGATTAGAAGATGCAAACATAGCAATGGCTCCCAGAGGTACAAAATCCTGGGTCCAGAATGATGCATCCTGGGACTTGGGAGTTTGGGAATCGTATCCATAAGGACTAAGGCTGAAGAAAAGTGTATATATCCCTATTATACAAGTACATATGTACCAGACATAAACAACTTACTGGTATGACACAATTTCTATGAAAAAATATTTGGATGCATGCAATACAATTAATTTTATTTAATTTGTAATGTGAGCAAAGCAAGTTTTAAGAAATACATCAAACAATGAAAATATTGATTGTTAATGTTCATACATGCATGATCCACAGATTTACAATAAGAAAGCTACATGTCTTATCTCTTAGTCTGATAGAAATTTAGGATTATTTTTTATTCATTTCTGAAGTGATCTCAAGGCTCACCTGGCAAGAAGGTTGACAGTGTCTGTACAGATCTGAGGGCAGGATACCAGTCTAAAGGCAATGTGGCCCACAGCACCAGGATAATGTGTCCTCATCACCTGCTCAAACGTGGACTTTATCGTGCTGAAGTCACTTCTCTTAGAAGCTTGCACATGGTCAATATGCATATCAAGCAAGTTTCCTTAAATGTAGAATTAAAATGTTATACATTATACACTTGATTACTGATACCTGTGTCCTCGTGAAACATCTTAAAGCATACTTGATTCTGATAAAATTGAACTGAGCTGAACTAAGCAGGGTAAAGCAGTGCTTAGAATTGAGCTGTCTGGCTAATATACAGTAGTGGAAATATTGTGCAGCTGAACTTCAGTATCTTGAATATGGATATCTCGAATACCATGGATATGTCGACGTGATTTGGAAGTCCCAACAACTATTTCCTTAAGTATTTTACCCTCAATATCTCGAAGCCTTGGATATTTCTAAGTTTTTTCTCAGTCCCATCAAGTTAGAGATAATGAAGTTTGACTGTATTCTATCACAAAATGTTACCTAACATAGAGAAGGACTATAGTTATACAATCATGTTCATTTCACCACAGTACCTCAATCAAAAACTTCATGTCTTAGAATAAAACACTTTGGTGCTAATACATGTACCTCCAAGGACGCCATGTTGAAGCCACCTGAGCCTATAAAATTTTTTCCAGCTCAATGGCATCACTTGGCTTGATGTGTGCGCAATACCGGCTCACAATCAAGTGTGTCTCTGGTCATCCCCAGTGTTATCAAAGCTCCCCAGCTCATCAGAATCAAGTATGCTTTTAAACTTCTATGTGAATTTTTCATAAATGCAGTAGCCAAATTTCTCTGGTATTCACTAGTTATGCATGTATTGACTGTCAGTATATTTTTGAATGAAGCTCTATTTGATTTAATCCTTGTAAATTGTTACCTCCATGTAGTACCAAGAAGAGGATGTTGGTCTTACAGCCTGCGGATGATGGAGGGGATATCTCTTTATTCTGCTCCACATTGAAATGCTGCTGGCGGAAGTGCTCCATCTTTTTCACAAGGGATGTGTCTGATAAGAAGAAAAATAGATGATAATGCATTAACAAGTCCATCCACTTTCTTATAAATACTGCTAGGTGCTTTTTACCATAATTCTACGGATTCACAATTTCTGTTCAATCTGTGAGTAGAAAACTATGCAGATTTCTTGGACCGACATCATATGTCCTTAATGTACTTTAAGTATGCTGTGACATTTTTCTGCAGAAAAATTGTGACCACATTAATAATGTAAATTAATCCCAAGTGGAGAAAGTACATCTAGAGTAACAATACTAATGCAGTGTATTATGCTTTATAATCAAGAGAAAATGAATAGTCTCGAAAATGGTTGCCCTTCACATTCAAAACAATTCTTCAAACTCACTAATCTCTTTTTACTATTACTGCTATATACTTGTACTGTAAATTTCCAGCTAATCACAAAACACAGTTATGAAATCACTATATATACTGAGTATAATTTATTTAATCAATTTGTTTTTATTTGAGGTTGTGAAGAAATGTACCTTCACATAAAAAAGAGTGGTCTGGTCCTTATGACATGTTGGACAGAATGTGCTGCTTAAATATCTGGTCCTCGGACAGGTTAGACCAAGTATGCTGCTTATGTATCTGGTCCTGAGAATGCTGCTCACCTATCTGTTCCTCAGTTGTATTGAACCGAACATCCAGCTTACCTATCTGGTCCTTGGACAAGTTGGACTGAGTGTGCTGCTTACTTTTGTGGTCCTCAGATGTGTTGAAAGGAGTATGCTGCCCAGTGCTTACCGAACTGATACTCGGATATGTTGGATCGAGCATGCTGCTTACCTCTCTAGACCTCGGACATGTTAGACTGAGCATGCTGCCTATCTATCTAGTTCTCGGACATGTTGGACCAAGCATGCTGCTCACCTATCTGGTCCTCAGATATGTTAGACTGAGCATGCTGCCTATCTATCTAGTTCTCAGACATGTTGGACTGAGTATGCTGCTTACCTATCTAGTCCTCAGACATGTTGGACTGAGTATGCTGCTTACCTATCTGGTCCCCAGACATGTTGGACCGAGCATGCTGTTTACCTATCTGGTCCTCAGACATGTTAGACCGAGCATGCTGCCTATCTATCTAGTTCTCAGACATGTTGGACTGAGTATGCTGCTTACCTATCTAGTCCTCAGACATGTTGGACTGAGTATGCTGCTTACCTATCTGGTCCCCAGACATGTTGGACTGAGTATGCTGTTTACCTATCTGGTCCTCAGACATGTTAGACCGAGCATGCTTCCTATCTATCTAGTTCTCAGACATGTTGGACTGAGTATGCTGCTTACCTATCTAGTCCTCAGACATGTTGGACTGAGTATGCTGCTTACCTATCTGGTCCCCAGACATGTTAGACCGAGTATGCTGCTTACCTATCTGGTCCCCAGACATGTTAGACCGAGTATGCTGCTTACCTATCTGGTCCCCAGACATGTTGGACTGAGTATGCTGTTTACCTATCTGGTCCCCAGACATGTTGGACTGAGTATGCTGCTTACCTATCTAGTCCTCAGACATGTTGGACTGAGTATGCTGCTTACCTATCTGGTCCCCAGACATGTTAGACCGAGTATGCTGCTTACCTATCTGGTCCCCAGACATGTTAGACCGAGCATGTTGCTTACCTATCTGGTCCTCAGACATGTTAGACCGAGCGTCAGCATACTCATCTCCACTCGTCACTAGTTCTGACCGAGTATCCTGCTTCTCTTCCTCATCTGAAAAATAAAAAATGGATTATTTGCTATAAAGAATTTACACAACTTGCCATTTTCAATAATTTAATACCAATAAACTGCTTTACGGAATTGCACACGTATATGATATATAATATCCAAGATCAATTGTTAAATCATCATTATTTTAGAAAAGTCATTCTATTTCTTAGCTAGCATGAACACTGCCTACAAAGCTGCTCTTCAATTAAAAAAAAAATCTCCATAAATCTTGAAGTTATTTTTCTGTAAAGTGCATTGAACTTCTTGCATGAAAATGAGAGTGTTTACAGCAGTTTATTATCAAAGACTTGTTTATACTTCTTGAAAGAAGAAGAAAATATAAGCAAATAAGCTACAGGTATTTGAAATCTCAGCTTTTCTTTTTTTGACCAGCAAACTTATATCAGAAATAATGCTTTTCATATTCAAGAAGTGGACATTCTTATATATATATATATAATAAAATAATTGATATGCAATAAAAAAATTGTACAGTAAAGAAATTATATAAAACACAAGATGACCATTGACAAGAAAAATTTATAAAATATCATCAAACTTTTGGGAGCACACATTCACATTCTTCTTAGGAACTCAAAAAAAAAAACCCAAACCAAACCAAACAAAAAGCAACCCCTCCCCCTAAATATAAGATTTCAAACTGACTTTTTAGATACTATATAATATAGTCAGTAACAGCAGCAGTTTATTACAACACAATGAGCATCCACACCCTTTCTCACTTCAGATCCAATGACAAGTGTGAAGGATTAATGGAGTTCAGTTTATATTAGTCAATTCCACATTTACTTAGCATCTCACACTTCATTTCATAGGAAACGGAATAATCATGGAGAATATCCTGATGAATAAGAACTGAATTTATTTGACATGACCTCAAATGAAAGGAAACCAAATGATTTAAGTTGGAATAAAACCTATTATAGGGTAAGAATTCCCTCTTCTTTTCAGTTTGTGATGGTTTTAATTTTTCTATATTCGTGATCAAAGAATTTTCTGCGAACATTAAGCCATCGTGAACATTGTTGACATATCAATGTAGCATTCATAAAAAATATGCCCCATACCCTTTAAAACCCTGTTTTTCTACTCCATTATTGTAAAAAAGTACTTCATTGAAATCATACATTGTAAGAAATCTAAGTTAATAAAATTGGTGGGTTATAAGTTACTGGATAGGTTTGTTATGAATAATCTACCACAACTTTTTTAGTTTTTAAAGAATAATTTGTTCTTAACAGTGAGAAATTCACTGTCAAACTGCAAAATTTAACCATCGTGAAATGTACCAACAAAGAAAATTGTGAAATATTAAACACTTGGAATTAAAGACATTTACAGTAAGTGATATGTTTAAAAAAAATAGTTGGTGGGCAAGGAGTGAAAGGTGCTTTATATTATGGATGAACTGACCTAATATATGATTTGCTGCTGGTGAAGAGGCATGGTTATAAGAAATAAGGATTAAAACGATTTACAGAAAATTCTAATAGTCAATTTATAAAAATCAATTATGATTATAGTGAGCGAGGTCAGGTTTCATGATAAATTTGATTCTTTATTTTGGAGAGAAGGATTTTAAGTTTATGTTGTCCTAACTTTACATATTAGTTCATCTCATCAATAGTAAGTAGTTATTTGATCAAACAATGTAACAAAGATTATATTTCAAGAAAGTACAGAGAATCTGCAGTAGCTCCAAATACAACAAACCTTTTCCAGTCAAGCCTGGAATAAAATAGAATTACTGTAGCACAAACGCATGCATATTAACGATTCTGTTTTTAAAAAAGTGCTAGTATATCAAATAATTTTTTTGTTTGTCTAATGTCCCTTTCGAGAATTTTTCACTCATATTGAAACGCTACCACTTGCCAGTGGAAGGCTGCAAATTTTAGACCTATATACTTGGCATTCAGGGCCATTGAGCATCGAGGGATCTTTTTCATGCCAGCACCCACTGCGACACAGAATCTCCGATGAATTGGTCTCCATGTCCCACAGTGGGATTCAATCCCAAAACGTTAGGTTCAACTCCACTCCACAACTCTAGAGCAAATGCTCTTACCACTGCATCATGCAGGCAACATATATCAAATGAATTATTTGTACATTGTGTAATTCAAAAACTGAGCAAAAACCCTTACAGTTCATTAGAACCTCTCTGATGTTGGTGGCCAGTTTTAATTAACAATTAAGGAATAAATGACCTCATCTTTCACTGCATTACATCTGGAGATCACACAGGTTTGCACTCTGATTTAATAACCCATGCTGATGCATTTTGAAAATCAGTATGCATACCTGATAAAGTACAGTGGAAAAAACGATTATTAAATAATAAATAAAGTTTAATATCTGGAACATTGATATCTCAAATTTCATGGGTATGGTATGTTGAAGTGAGTTGGAAATCCCAACCATTTTTTGTTCATGTATTTCAACCTCAATATCTCAAACCCTCAGATATCTAGAAGTTTTTTCTCCATCCCATTGAGAAAAAGGGATGAAAAACAGTCAGCAACAGGTCACCTGAGTAACTCAGGTGATGTAAAAAAAAATCTATTTAGCTTGTAAAATGTATCACAACATCCCATGCTTGTAACATTAAGCACAATAAACAGACCATAGTCTCTAGAACATTGAGCACAATCTGTAACATTGAGCACACTCATTACTCTTTGTTTCATTGAGAACACTCACCTGAGTTAGGAGCTGAGTCTGATCCTTCATCAGACCAGAATTCACTCTCATCGCAGGGAGTTAGATGCCCTGTTAGACAACAAAGCTCACAGTAGAAGAGACAACTAATCAGGCATGCACAAAGGCTAGAACTTAAGATGGGTTATATCTTTACAACAGAAATATAAAGAAGCATTCAACATAGAAAAACAAAATTATATATATAGTTATTTAAGAAAAAATCCTATTTAAATTCCTCAGAAAAATAAGTTTAGACCAGTGATTGCAAGCATCCACATTTGTAGAACTTCTACACAGACAAAAGACAAAACAAGTTGCAACATTAACATAAATGTTAGAAACAAAAAATGTGAAGATTTCTTTGTACAAAATGGACAGGCTTTTTATCTAAGAATGATATCTTTTACATCTAAGAGTGATGTCTTGTTTTACCCTACACACCTTTTGCATCAAAAAATTCTTCATCCTCGGAGCTAGATTCCTGAAGCTGTTCAAGGCTCTCAAACATCCGAGAGGTCGAGATGTCATGGAAAGATCCTATAATAGACAAAAATAGGTAAGGTCTGTGTAATTCTTTTTAACATAACCATATCGACAAAAATAAGGTTAATTCCAAAGTGAACTCTGCAATTCTGATGAATATGAATTTATAATATAACCATATACACAAAAATGAGGTAAATTCCACAGTAAATTTCGTAATTCTGACAAAAACAAGAGACCCATGGGCCACATCACTCACCTCAGCACTTTGGTTAGCAAAAAGCAGAAATCAGTTCATCGTCGGAAACCCATGGCCCATCTTGCATACACTTATTGATACATTATCAATAAGCGTATGCGAGATTGACCATGGATTTCCGACGATGAAATCAGTTCAGAACTGAAAAGTTTAAATATATATGTGGTCCTACTGTACCCTCCAGAGTGATGATTTGAACAAACTTGCTTCCATATTAATATAACTAATCATGACTTTGCTGTTCTTGAGAAGATTTTTCCTATATATTCTCATGGAAACTTTGATTATCATGCCTAATGTGAGGCCACCTGACCCCTAGAGTCACAATTTGAACAAAATTGAATCTTCACTATCTGAGGATACTTCTGTATCAACATAGCTAATCATGACTTTGCTGTTCTTGAGAAGATATTTTTAAAAGAAATATTCCCTATATATTCCTACGCATAACTTTGATCCCCTGTTGTGGCCCCACCCAAACCCCAGGGGTTATGATTTGAACAAATTTGAATATACATTATGTAATGAAGCTTTCACAAAAATTTCACCTTTTCTGGCCCAGTGATTTTTGAAAATAAGATTTTTGAAAGTTATCTTTAAATTTTCACAATTCTTAATTATCTCCCCTTGAAAGAGGGTGTGGCCCCTCATTTGAACAAGCTTGATTCCCTTCATCCAAGGGTGCTTTGTGGCAAGTTGGGTTGAAACTGGTCCAGTGGTTCTGGAGAAGAAGATAAAATGTGAAAAGTTTACGATGATGACAACAACAACTACAGTGACAACAACAGACAAAGAACAAATTTTGATCAGAAAAGCTCACTTCAGCCTTCAGCTCAGTTGAGCTAAAATGGTAAGTTTTACAGCAAGCTTTGTAATTTGGAAAAATACTACATTATAGACAAAATTAAAAGTAAATTCCATAGCCTGTGTGCAATTCTGATATTATGTACCTTAGGAAAGGTTTTTATTACATACTAAATTGTCCTATCTAGAAATTTCATATTTCTGAATTTATAACAAGATGTGTTTGTGAAACACTGATGCCCTCGTACAGCAACTCATATCAAAGGTTAAACTTTCTCAAATGCAAATCAAATATGTTGGTACTCAAAGTAAGGCCTTGTCTCGAGGAATATACCTTTGAAATATGAAAACTCTAGCATCAATCATTGAAGAGATATGGAAAAGGTTAATGTTTTTCAAAAGTAAGTCAATCATCATGGTCAAGTTCAAATGGTCAAAATTAATGGTGCCTAAGGAAAGACCTTCTAACAAGAAATACACATGTGAAATATGAAAGCCCTGGCAACAACCGTTCAAAAGTTATGGCCAAAGTTAAAGTCTTTCAAAAGTAGGTCAACTCCAAGGTGAAAGGGCCAAAATTGTTGGTATGCAAAGGAAGGTCTTGTCACAATCATTACATATGTGAAGTATGAAAGCCCTAGCACCAACGGTTCAAAAGTTATGACCAAGATTAAAGTTTTGCAAAAGTAGGTCAAAATCCAAGGTCAAGGTCAAAGGGTCAAAGTTGTTGGTATCCAAAGGAAGATCTTGTCACAAGGATTACATATATGAAGGATGAAAGTCCTAGCACTAACCGTTCAAAAGTTATGACCAAGGTTAGTTTTTTAAAACAGGGTCAAACTCCAAGGTCAATGTCAAAGTGTCAAAGTTTTTTGGTATCCAAAGGAAGGTCTTGTCACAAGGTATACACATATGAAGTATGAAAACCCTAGCACCAACGGTTCAAAAGTTATGGCCAAGGTTAACGTTTTTTCAAAAGTAGGTCAAACTCCAAGGTCAAGGTCAAAGGGTCAAAGTAGTTGATATCTGAAGGAAGGTCTTGTTACAAGGTATACACATGTGAAGTTTGAAAGCCCTAGACCCAACTATTCAAAAGTTATGGCCAAGGTTAAAGTCTGAAAAAAAATTGCAAAAGTGGGTCAAACTCCAAGGTCAAGGTCACAAGGTCAAATTTTATGGTACCCAAAGAAAGGTCTTGTCACAAAAAATAAACATTTGGAATATGAAATCCATAGCTCCAACCAATCAAAAGTTATGGGCAAGGTTAAAGTTTTTGCGGACAAACAGACAGACAGACAGATAAACAGACAGACAGACAGACGGACGGACGGGGCAAAAACTATGTGCCCCCAAATCTTCGATTTTGGGGGCATAAAAGTAAAAAGAAGTTAACATCAATTTTGATTCTTTGTGAAATTCAGACATGTACATGTAGCATTCATTTCATTTCAACCACATCGGATAAATAATACTTTTATCCTACTATTTACAAAGTTTTAGGAAATCAAGAAGATGCAGACGTTTCTTTTTTGTTAGAAATCTGAGAGCTGAACTTGAAGGACTATTGATAGCTGTGTGTTTGATACTGTTGACACACCCTGCCCACAATTTATTTCGGTCAGCCACACCCCACCCATGATTTATACCAGTCAGCCACACCCCACCCACGATTTATACTGGTCAGCATTTCAAATGTCTCTTAATGTAACCTACACATAATGTGCTAAAGGAAAAAGATCTAATTAATACTTAGTTATACATACTTATGTTTTGAAAATTCCATCATATGAAAAGTGAAGATATTTAATGAAAATTAAAACACAAAACTCTAGTGTATCTTTATTTATTTAATGTATGCATAATAATTAAAATACTGTAAAACTTTCCCTCATAGATTTGTAGAATCAGGATATGCCTGGTATAAATATTATCTGTAGGCGTGAAAATGTACTTTAGGAATTAAAGCCTCAGGGAATAATTAGACACATTCTAGAGGCTGATAAATTTCCTTGTCTGACCTCCCACACTTTTTTAGACATCCTAGTGTAAAAGACAAACAGTTCAGTCTAGTCTATATCCTTTATGTTCAGTTTCCATCATATCCTTAATTTCACAAGAAATGAATTCCAAAAATCAATCTCATCTTTCTCTTATTTAGACTTACTTCTGGCTGAGCTGAGCTGCCTATAACTGTATCTTAAATCATGAGAGATATTAGTTTTATTGTGAAAGGTAATCAATACCCTTGCCAAATTCTTACAGCTCTCAAACATTTCACAGCTTTAGGATCATGATTGGGGCAGGCTCATTATGATTTAATGGTTATCTAGGAGACACATGATCTGAGTATGACCAAAAATCTCTGAAGAGACTGTAGCTCTACTGTTAAGAATTGCTCCTTTAAGTTGTAATATTTAACAGTTTAAAATTTATGACATTATATACATGTATAATCTTGATATTTCTTTTTAATCATACCAAGTTTAAATGAAACCAGACCAGATCTGTTGTAAAAGTAACATTATCAAACATTTTTTAGTGTTAACCTAAGAATACTATTCATCTACATTCAAAACTGATAAAGAGCACTATGTTTCTTGATGTAGTTTTGCAAACTAATTTCTTTTAAATTGGAGCAAAACAAAAATACAAGCAGTATCATTTTGAAAGAACTTCAGTGACACATTCTATGTTTAGTAACCAAGGAAACTCCATTCATTGAAATAAAAACACAAACAAAAACAAATTTTAACAACCAATATTGTCTGTGTCAATGCGTGGCAAATCCTTTTTTAAATTTTAATTTTGAGACAGCTACTGACCTCCTTTATGCTTTGTTGACCCACTAAGGGAGCGTTTATGTATGGTCCCTGATGATGGTTTCCTGCTCTCGGGGGTGATTTTCCCCTGGTAATCTGGGTCAGACGCTTGTCGCTTAATGGCTGCAGCCTGATCAAATGAGGTGGAGATTGGGATTTTTGGTGTTTCTTTGACCTCAGTCTCATTTTCCTCTTCAGCCTCTTCCTCTGATGTAATTTTCATTTTCTCAGCTAGAGCTAACTGAGTTTCCAGCTCTAGCCGCCTGATGTCACTGAGTTTTAGTCCGTAATACTCATCCTGCCAACACCAAGCCTGGCGATGAGCTCGAAGCATAGTTTTTCTTAGTCCTGCAAAATACGATCAGCAAAAGATTGTGTTATAAATACTGGTATATTTTATAGTTAAGCTTTATGGAACTACTTTTTTCTTTGTTGATATATTTTTCATTAAGAATTCATCATGGGAACAAAATTATAGGATTCTTCCCCAAACAATTTTCAAATTGAGTACATGTAATTTTATTGAGTGAAATTTAGGTTGTAAAAACAGAAATGTTGCCTCCTTCTTTGAATACATGAATTTCAGTAGTAATTCATCAACTAAAACTGCATGAGCAAACAAGAAGTCTGTGAGCCAATGCTCACTAGTAATACCCCCTCTCTGATGTGAATATACAAGTTCAGTTATGGACAGACCCAGGGATAAACAGGAAATTGACATCGGATTTGTACAGAAATGAATCCCACAATATGGCATGCCTAAACAAAGAGTGTGCTAAACTTTCAAGCATCTGTGATGAGTAGTTGCGGAGAAAACTGCAACCAAAATTTATTTTGTATGGTACAGACGGACGTGTGGATGAACAGGAAGTTGTGATCAGATTCGTACAAAAATGAATCCCACCATATGGCATGCCCAAACAAAGAATCTGCTATGAGCATTTGCTGAGCAAACTGTGACTGTGACAGACACACAGAAAGCAAGACAGACAGACAACACACAAGGGTAAAACAGTATACCCCCTCTCCTTCAGAGCAGGGGTTTAAAAATGAAAAACTGATTGTTTATTACACACCTGTACATGTGTTTGTTCCAGAACATACCTATGTCATGTATAAATCTCTCAATCTTGTTTTGCATCCCCCAGTATTTAAACTCAACCCGACACAGTTTATATGCTGTCATGATACATTTATTATTGCCTGGAAGTTTGGCCTCGCGGGCATACTCTGCTCTCCAGTTGTCTGTGAGAGGACCACGTCCTGTCTTCTGAGATTTGTAAATTTTCGGATCCTCCTCTTTCTTGTAATCTCCACTGGAGATGGGGTCCTTGACAATGTCCAAGTAATCTATAAATGATTCATAGTAGTTTGACTAACAATGGAAACCAGATCTAGAAAGTTTTGTCATTCATCTTTATTTCAATTTTTTTATCAATAGAAAGTTTTTATCATTTATAGTTAAGATTTCCTATCACACTTTTTCTATATTGGTTTGTCTTTAGAAAATCAGTCCATATTTGGCCTATAACATATTAGAGGATCACCGGTACCAATTCAGATAGACTACAGATACACTCCAATTTCCTTTAAAGGGTTTTTATCACGTTTCAAAATTTTTTGATATGACAAAGTTTACATGCTATTAAAATCATATATTTAAAAAACTTTGCTAGAAAATTACAATTTTTTATGTTTCAGCGATTCAAAGTTTGAATTTCTCAATATGCATATTTTGATCGCCGATGTTACGTGCCATTGCTCTGACGTCATAGGTGTCAATCCTGGTCAAGCGAAGTACTTATTGTGTATGCAAAAGGGCTCATTTGTTGTGTCTTTTAAACTTGTTAGAAAATAATTAAGTGATAATTGAATAATTGACAACTTGTAAGGTATAATTTATGGCTTTATGGTGCACAAATGTGCACAAGAAAAGTTTTAGGAAGAATTGTTCCCCACATTTCCTGGACTTGGTCGAGAGATAAAAGGGGGGCCTTTCTCTGCAAATGCGATGGCGTTTATCTCCATTCAGAACAATCGTTTATGCCCAATCGATCACGATTTTTTTTCTTCTGTCCTATAAAATATTTTAAGGAAAGATATTTTTAAAAAAAATAATAAATGACAAACGCGCATTTTTTAAAAGTCGCACAGAATCTAGTGGGAATGTTGTGAACTTCGTAATGGCGTACGGCGCCATTGAAGAAGTGTCATTTCTAGTACATGATATGCACTGCTAGAACAGATAGAAAATATACAGGATTTATTTATTTATAATTAATTAAAATAATAATGAAGAGGAATTTAACATTCCCATATTTATAAATGTTTACGAAGTTAAACTTTAGTAATTCGTTCTATTTAGTTGAAGTCCCGAGTTGTCAAAGGTTTCGTCTTCGGTGACCTTTCTCCAATTGTTGGCATATTTTCGGGTTATTTCTCTCTGCTAAACGTTCATACCTAAAAGATTGACCGTCCATAACCAAAGGAATATAGTCTATGTCAAAATTTCAACCGGCCATACTGTGTATTCTATTTATTTAGCATAAAAATCTATTCAATATATTTTTTTCGTACGATAAGCTTTACGAGTTCTATTGACCATTGACACCTATGACGTTTCAGTACCACGTGACCCCTATCTAATTAGTGGAGATTTTTACTTCGAGGACCCTATATTACGGGCGTTTAATCATCTAATTACGGCCGTTTTCAACATTATTTCATAATTAAACGATAATAATATGTTTCAAGAATATAATAGTGTTTCATTTTTAAGAAATTTAGATACGTGATAAAAACCCTTTAAGGTTAGAATTAATCATTTTTTGTATTAATAGTATAAAAATGTGAATTTATTGTTCAAAACAAAACAAAAACCCTGTTACATCAGTGTGACAATGTTCCTTAGAAGTTGATTTTAATCAGATATCAATGCAGACATACCGGTAATAAACTTTCAATCTATTTTGATCTTGTTGGCCCTTGTCATAAGTTAAGAACACCAATACAATATTATACAAATAATCAGATAAATATGGGTTTCTGAACTCCAAATATATACACAGCAGACAGTAATCAAGATAATGGCTATAAAGATTCACAATCAGAAATAATGTATCAGGAAAAGGGGGGCTTATGATTGTGACAGATGTATATCAGAGACATAAAGAAACTTAAATTCTAATCTCTGATGTCTTACATCTTTTTCATTGCCCATTTAAGGAAAATGCTAGTGTTTAGTTTTTCATCTAAATTTATATGCAGTTTTGATCTACAGGACTCTGTTAGAAAATTAAAACATCTTACCCCAAATGTTTAAGTATAATAAACTCAAAAATGCAGCTACTCTGTCCAGATTCTGTGTTTTACACCATATGTGTTTGTTGCATAACATTTTCTTGTAATAAATTTAATTTGCATTGAAATTAAAATTACAAAAGTAAAAGCAAATATCAACTGATTTTGTTTCTTTTGTATTCCCTTGCTGATTTTGAAGAAAAACTTGTTTTTCACTGAAAAAAAAAAAAAAAATGAAATATCAGTAGATGTTGTCGGGTATTATCTCACCGTTATCTAAGGTCACCTATGACCCTGTTTTTGGAGTTCAGACCGAATACCATTTTCTAAGGTCACCTATGATCTTGTTTTGGAGTTCAGATGGAATACATTATCTTATTTTTTTTTAAGGTCACCTATGATATTGTTTTGGAGTTTTGGTGGTAAGGTCACCTATGATCCTGTTTTTTGAGTTCAGATAGAATACATTATCTCACTGTTTTCTAAGCTCACCTATGACCCTGTTCTTGAGTTCAGATGGGGACAGATTGAATACATTATCTTCCTCTCCGGCATCGTTGAGGTACCTGGTCTCTATCTCCAGATACAGTTTCTCCACAAAGGGGCACCTGTATCGAGTCTTTGTGTAAGGATACGCATTCCAGGCCTCCTCCTCAACACGAAGAGCTGATTTCGGCAGAATAGCTCGGAACCAACCTACATTAAATCAAATACTAGTATATTTAAAAAGTTCTCTGTGTTACAACTTTGTTTATTTGAAATACTAATGCAACACTTTTTTCCCCTATTGCAACATAAACCTTACATAGATAAGGTGATAAGATTACTCGTAACACAAGAAATTTCCTGGATTGAGAGCTCTGGATTTAGCAGCTGCTGATATTGTCATCAAGTGATGCTGATAGCAGTGATAATTGATAAAGTACTTGTAATTTCTACAACCCCCCAACAATCATGCACCCATTTATGAAGCATGAACTTTTCATTATATAACATTTATAACTGGTCACTTACATGGTGATTGATTATACATTTCGTGGCACATAACTTTTCATTGTAGGTTATTAAACATAGAATACATGAATCTAGAAGCAGCATTCACATATGTAATAGACATGTAAGTTAGTGTTTCTTTGTCATTTTTCTTACATAGCCCTCTAACATGTAGCCCTAATCTGACCCCTTACACACCTGGTAAATGGCTCCCCACATGATAGATTTTATAGGTATACTGGCCCTTCCCCCCGGGACCATCTTCATAGGGTTCATTTGTGATAATCTCCACCCCGCTTCCTTCTCCATGACTCTCTTCACGACTCTTTCTCTGGAAAACAGCAATGATTAATTAAACCTTAAACATGTTGAGCAATACATTTTTATAAAAAAAAAAAAAAAGCTAAGATCAGATTCATAAAAATACAGATCTTTCGGATGAAACCTGGGGGACTAATGACTTTTGTGACAGGAAAAAAGTCATAATGACTTAATATACTAGCCAAATGAGTATAGTTTCACATGCAATCTGTAAAGATTTTCATAATTATGAATGTTCTTTTTGTGTAAAATTCATGTGGAGGATTTATTTTGATGATCTTTACTCACTTTACGCTGTTTTTCTTAAGATGAACACATGTAAATATATGTATGCAGTGCCCTATACTAAATTTACTTGGTATTACTAACTTGTAGTCTAATGTTGAATGTTAACTATAACAGAAACTCAAATCAGTTTTTAAAAAAAAATGGCAGATAGGACATACCCACACATCTCAGAAAAAGCAAGAGCATTATTAAATACACAACTACTCCTGGCCATCATTAAACTGATTGAAAGAAATGCCTCCATTCAAATTATGATACAATGTGGTCTAGCTGTGGAGCTTGAGTTTTTTATTTATTTGAATTTCCAAATCTATATTATCTGAAACTGTGAAATACAATGTAGAAATGATACGGAGTTGAAATCATTTTCTTTGATGGCTGAATTTGTATTTATCAGTGATAGAAAGTGATTTGATTCTCAAAAGCTTAAATTCATTTCCGTGGTGCAAAAACTAAAACTATTTCTTTTCTTTTTGGAAGCCTTTCTGACAGAACTCTAATCAGCCTGCCCCACCGGTGTGAACTTATTACTGTAATCAAGCATACAACTCTACATAAGCCTGTCTCAGCCACAGGAATACCACTGTACTTTAGGCTGTGTGATCTATCACTTTGGGTTGGTAATTACCTTTTAGATGAAGTCAGTAGCCTGTTAGAGCCATGTGATTATTATTATTAAGGAAGCTGAAAGATTTCTCAAGCTTCCATATCAGTCATAAATTTACCATATTATCTTCATTAAGATGTCATCAGCTTCAAATCTCATCTAATGATTGTACACACTAACTGTAGTAAGTCAAAAATAACATCATTTGGTGTATCAAGGTGACTGACTGGAATTCTGACAATAATAATCAGTAATTCAAGGAATTTGTGTCCCCCACTTAAGAAAAAAAGAAAAGAGTATGTGGAAGACCTAAAGAAATGCAGATGGAGAAAAAAAGGGTCAACCTTAACCTTTTAGATTTTGATTTAAAATCAACAGGGGTCCTTTTTTAAGTTAAAGAAATTCATGACCTTAGTTTCACTGTACATGTAAAACCTAACAAAGAACTAGTTATTATCTGTAAACTATGTATGCAATATATGAAAATCTGACTTTGGTCTTTGACCTAAAAAAATCAATATTTTTTTTTTAAAGTTAAACTGAGCTATCGGTATAAAATTTCATTGCAAAAGCTCAAAGGCGTTTTGAGATATCAACTGGAAATGAGTGTTAGACAAGGACATAATGTTATGATGGTCAGACTCATGCAAATTAATATCCCCCACTTTCAGTGAAAGCCGGGGACAAAACTGCATGAATAAGAAGTCAGAATCTGAAAGAACTTTAAAGATATTCTATTTTAAATAACCAAAGAACCTTTCAATGTTCAAGTTATTATTTATGATAAATATTGATCATGTTGTATAGTCAACACTTGTATTCGTTCAAATCAAGTAAAAAAAAGTTGGAGCAGTAGATTTTTTTGAAGAATTGAACAGTTTAATCAATAAATTTTTATTTAACATACATGTAGCAACATATAAATCAATGAAATTAAGAAGTCAGTACATGATTGTTCAACTCTTTATTTGATCATCTTGATCTGGTCTACTGGAACTTCTATACCATATTTTAAAGAATTTCTGAAAAATTCTGACAGACAGATGGACAATAGGCATTTTATCAATACATAAACTGTTCTAGTTTTCAATCAACATGTGGCATACAACTGGACAACACTGAATCACTCAGAATTTGATTCATTTTCTTCAGACTGTGCTGTTAAATTTTTTTAAAGGTTCTAAAGAAGCCTTATAAACACCACTACTCCTCAAGAAATCAATGTACCTGGTACATATCAATTCACACCTGTCCCTCGCTGTGTTACAGGTATTTTAAACTCACCTGTATCATGTAAAGCTGGGCTATGCGATACTCCTCCACACTCATAGGCAGGGGGATCCTGTACTCCTTAATTAGCATATTGTTAATTAATTCTAATTTTCCAATTAATGTCGGTCACTCAATGAACACATCATAATTGTCCCTGGTGTCCAATCTGAATGTATCACTCCAGGTATAAACACACACACACAAATCAATAACGGATTAATTAACACATTGTCATATTAATGCTGCTGTGCTCCCCATTAATTATGGTGAATGAAGTACTGTCTGCCAAGCCATCTTTAATTTCTGCCAGCATTTGTCTGAAATATTAAAAAAAGAAGTAATCCATTAGTGACCTTAATTATACAGAATGAATAAGGACCTGTCTTGAACATGCAAGCAGAGACCCTAACGTGATCACCTGAAACTGACGATCCTTAATAAGCAGAGAGTGGTAGAGTGCATTAGATCTGACAGTTGTCAACATGGTACAACACAATGTTCTATTTATTACCCTATCCTTTCAAAATCTCCCCCACCAAAACAAATACCAACAGTGGTATTAATACACAATGAACTCTGTCTACATAAAGTGTTTCAACTCTCTGTAAAACATATTACTCAGGATAAGTGGAAATACAACTGCAAGGATTTGTCACTTCCTTTTCTAAAAGATGTTATTTAAATCTTCAGAATCTTAAATATGTATTTCCTCTCAATATTAATCAGTTTGTAGTAGGAAATGAAAGCTTTGGTTTCTAAAAAAAATATTTGTCATGGTTTTGGCCATGGATATTGCCTGGATATCTCAGTCGGTAGAGCGAATAGTGATACAGGGGTACCCATGTTTGATTCCCAGTCCAGCCATACATTTTCTTCTTTCCTTTTACATATTGAATAGATATTTAAAATACGTACAGTGAAAAAATGAATACAGAAAAGTTCCATCTCGATATTTTTAGAGCAGACTTTTTTCCACCTATATACATGTATATGATAGGTAATACAAATTACACTATCTGAATTTATCATCCATGGTGCTACATACGTAATTGATTTTTCAGGCCCAAGAGAGTCATAATTTGAAAACAGAACATTATCTATCCTGAATCACATATAATTCTCCCAAAAAGATCACACCCCAATAACTATATCCACACCATCAATTGGACCTCAGCTTCTATAGAATGTGTTTTCCTCTGGGAATGGAATACTTATACCTAGGCATTTAGCCATGTCTATAGTCATTTAGCTAGGCGCGACCTTCTACACTTTGGCTCTGATGGCAGAGTCAGTGATGTTAATGTCTAAGTGTATTGCCCTGAGCTCCGTACCACATGACTAGAGGACAATATAGACAGTACTTCTATCATCACTCCAAGCATTCCCACTAGAATATTTATCTGTTTGGTGCCATTTGATGTCACAATGATGAAACATGGTTACATCGCATCATTTGGCACCAAACTAATAAATATGCACATTTTTTGATGCTCTTTTTTTTCTTTTGAATTTTTTTTTTTTACACAACTTGTTTTACCTATGAGTGAAGTTGCAAGAAAATGCTCACAATAGATCAGTAAAAGAGGTCTGAATATTACTTGTTCAATGGTCACATTTTTTAAAGCTGAAATTACATGTATCAGCTTTAAACACACACATTATAGCTTAGATGATAATACCCACTTTGAATGTATCATTAAACATCTATATAAGTAAAATAAATTATCATTAAAACTCTAATAAATCAATGTTCATGTTTAATTTACTGAAGATCACCAAATTTTTGTGACACCTTATTTTCAAGAGATATCAATTTGAGACAAAATTTTAATGAATTCAAGTTTAATCTTTAGGAATAAAAATATATGCGAGAATAAAATTTACATGAGCAGACGACAGTCTTGCGTAATTACACAAAAATAAAGTTCTCATGGATAAAAAGTGATTTCCAGTATTCAATCATCTTTATTTATAAGGTATGATAAAAAAAAATTGTTCTATTCACAAATTAATTCCCTTTAACCTCATGAACTGTGGACCTGATACCTAAAAATATACAATGAAGCCAGCAGACAATTAGATACAAAGACTTTAAGTGTATGATACCCCTTGACAATTTCTATAAGCTCTTGAAAAACCATTAGATTTATGGTAGATTATCTGCATGAATGAAAAATCCCATCTCTTTTTTTGTTTTGGTCCAATCTGTGGAATGGGCAATTAAATAATTGTCCATTCATCTATACTTTATAATTATCTTCTATATGTTCTATATGGATTTTTATACCCTTGTAAGATAATGAAGACTTCTATTGTTATACTGAATTTAATCTGACAGCCTCCAGACAATACAGAAACAAGTCAACACTGATGAACTTCTGCAAATTTAAGCTTCATGCAGCTTTAAATTCAATCTTTTCATTAAAAATATACATTATAGTGCATTTGATAGATTGACTTTCATGCTTAATCAATCATAGAACTGAGGATTTTGACTGAAATCTTAGAATATACTTCTGTAAAATCTCATCTTAAGACCACAACTTGAAGTCTGCCCCAAACCCCGATGGTTTGGTGTTAGTACCGACACTAAAGTCCGATAGGTTGTTTCCTATGAGATGCTCTGCGCTAAAGTGCGATGGTCTGACACGCCAAAAGCCAATAGTGCGGAAAAAAATCAACGTTTATGACATCACAATAATCCTACGTCAATACTTGATGCCGTTCTCTGCAAAAGCCAATAATTTATGATTAGTGCTCACATAAAATGTGACTGATTTTCATTTGCTTATTTCTTACACTCACCCGAGATATTAGGGTTAGTCCTTGCACACCACTCGACTGAAAAGGGTAAGTCCTTGCACTATTGGACTGATTATGAGGTAGCTTCACACCCAACTGAGAGATTTAGGGTTAGTTCTCGCACATTATAAGATAGAATTGTGTTAGTCTAGCACCCACCAAAGAGATTTAGGGTAGGCCCTTGCACACCATTCAACTCATTAGTCTAAGGGATAGTCTCTCTCTTATGCACCCAAAATATGAAGGTTAGCTAGCTATTGCATACTTTTCGAGCGATTTGGGCTAGTCTTGCACTCATCGGAGAGATTATGGTTAGCCTTGCACCCACTAGAGATATTAGAACTAGTAGTACAATTAAATTTTGGTTTATTCTAGTGAACCATTTCACTTCCGTGATCAATTATTTAATATTCATTTGTATTTTTTGAAACAATCGGACCTTGGCGCAGCGCGGCATCTCAGTTCGGCGTAGTAGTACTATGATGTCATAAATATTGTTTTTCCACACCATCAGACTTTGGCGTATCAAACCATCGGGGTTTGGTGCAGACCATCAGACTTTGGTATGACCATCGGGCTTTGGAGTTTCATCGCACTTTGGAGTCATATATATATATATATATATATATATATATATATATATATATATATATATATATATATATATATATATATATATATATATATATATATATATATATACATTGTATTTCTCAAAAAAAAATTGTTTTATTGTTTTTAATAAAAACTTTAAAGGCAACAATTTAGATGTTGATCTTTCAATTGTTAATAAAAAATTTACTATCTTAAGAGTGCACCAAAGAACTACGTACGCTAACTCTCGATTCCCGCCTACATTTTACACTCATTTAATTCAATACTAATGGCAATTTGACCGTAAAATCTTTGTTGAATGTGAAGAACAGTTCAATGGTAATTGACTGATAATCTTAATGCCAGTGTTAAATAGTTAATTACTCCTAATTCAAGCTCTTAAAATAAGGGGGGTAGACGATATTTTCCATTGAAATCGGGCTTTAAAGCATCTCAACACATTTTAGAATATTCTTGGATATGAATAAATGTTCCTTAAAGCTTTTCTTATGTTTTATACATATAAAATTAAACATATATTATTAAATAAATTCAATATTTCAGTTGTAAAACCCTTTGAAATTGGTAAAAAATTAAGTATTTTTGTAGTTTTTTGTCTGTAAACATATGTTCCCCCCCCGTGAAACACAAAAAGCTTTGGTATGAATTTGTGAAATGACAGTCCATATTACCTGTAAAAAGGAATTTTTGTTTCACGGGGGGGGGGGGGGAGATGTTTTAAAAATATTTTCTGTTTTCCGTTGATTTCTATTGTGAAAAACACAAGTTTTACCCAAATTATAGAGTTATCTCTCTTTGTTTTCCCAAAGAAGTACTGTTTTATGAAAATTCATATAAATATCTATATAAATATGAAAAATCATTCAAATATGTATATTTATATGTATATGATATATAACTTTTGAAAATTGACTTGGAGGTAGGCGGGAGACAATGCTATCGTTCGCAGTTCTTACAGATATTCAAAGCATTACATCACTTGTTTACGTTGATGTCTACTTCCCTAAAAACGGACACTTCATGTATTGAGTGTTTACCTAATTATAGCAGAATCCTAACTTTTTGTCTTAGATATGACAGGAAGACAATGGCACCATAGACATGTTAGAATTTGGGGAGAAATATGACAGATGAACATGATGATGAGTTTTGAATTCTAGCTTTTTGGAATGAGGATAATGATAGCAATAATCCACTGGGAATACTGAATTAACCATAATGATGATAAATATCATCTGGATTGTGAACATTGGTAAAACAGTAACAATTATATGACCAAGGTAGACAAAGAGAGATTTACATTATCATGATTAAGTTGCTACTCTACAATGGTGATGGAAATAATTAAATGTATTATCTTATACTTAAACATACACTTAATCCCTCTTGTTTTGATATATACATGTGTATACAAATTTTGATTTTAAATATTTTACCATTTTTACATCATTGAGTGGATTCTTCAGAAGGAAAATAAATTTTATTCTCTGTGACCTTGCTTAGCATTATTTACAATACATTCTAAGGAATATCAAGGTATATATATATATATATATATATATCAGAACTCCAACTTGATATATCCTGTGTCTGAGTCATACATATGACCTTACTGTAATAAAAATTGTCATAAAGTTTAACTTTATGTCACGACCCCCAGGAGCTCCATCCAACAAGTTGTTTTTAATTACGTTCTAAAAGTACTCAATACTTTTTGCTACATTACATACATATAATACATAAAACTTCAATTAAATTAATACCT